TATGATATGTTTTTCTATTTTCTAAATTCTTAAAGCATTTGAAACAGCTTAACTCAGCATAAAAGAAAGTGAAGCAAATAAATAACAAATAAGTAAATTGGTGCTTTCCCTGTCCCATAACAACATCATTCTCACATTTTCACTAACATCATCTTTGAAACATTACAAACAAAGCCTTCATAAAAGATAAAATCCATATCTTGGTAGTGGTACAAAAAACATTGCATCATTACCATCAAATAAGGACCAAAATAGCACCATTAGAAAAGTTGGTCTTACACCAACAAAACAAAGGTTATACATCTAACCTAACCGCAAGAACTGAGCCTGATGCAAAACAACAACTGTAGCGTCCTTTAGCTTCAAACCAAATCTATTGTTTCATCAATTTTTAGCACCCAAAAAGATCAGAAACATCATCTGAAGTAAAGGATAATCACTTCCCTTAAAGAAACAAATTACTTCCCATATATCATTACTTGTATAAACTATGAAGTAAAATTAGCTTAAGAAAATTGTATATTCTTTTCAAGCCTTCAGGAATGGAATTCAAAGGACGATTATCGAGATAACATAAAAGACATTTCTTAAACCAAATGATTGAGGTTTCTAAATTTTCTTATCGGCCAACTACATTCACAGAAGAGAATATTTGGTTGATGTTTCCAGTTTTTTATCGCCAGCTAGAATTATTGTAAAACAACTTTTCTCTAGTAGATATGTGTCATATGTCTAGCTAATCCAATATTTGAGCATAAAAATCGGTCCAATATTGGATGAATTCTTATGGAAAGTGAAATCTAGAGTCTAGACTATCCATCAAAGAATTGTTCCTGACAAACTATTGTGTAAATGGAAAAAGAGTTCTAAAAACCCTATTAGTTGGCCAAAATAGATATCTTATAACATCATAAGAAACAACCTTTTATTATCTAAAGAGGATGATTCTAGCACACTTTGAATATCTTTGTGTTTAGGAAACACATTAATTGTTGAACTACCCAGGTTTATTGCATAAAGGTTTGTTTAGTTACATGAGTTTGAGCTTATTATATCAGGGCAAGTATTGAACATATAACTATTTTTTTCTTGACTATGTAAACTAATAAGTTTTCTTAAACATATAACTATGTAAACTAAAAAGTCTTAAATTACATTAAAAAGCATGCAAAGAAAACAATTTGGTGGGATTTTTATTTAGATGATGGAAGTGAAAAACCTGCTTAGTATGGTAGGTGATGACTTGGTCAGACCATGGAAGTGAGAAACTTACTCAATCTGTATTTTTGTAACATAAAATAAAAGTGAGTGGATTTTTATCAAACATATGGTGGGCATAGATGGTGAGCATTTAAAATAGATGGTCAAAAATCAAATCAACCAAAAACTGGATTCAAACTCCAAAGAAAAAGAAGATATAATTTTACTATGATTCACACCAAAACTCCATCTAATCAGTTCAAACCAAATTCAATCTAACTCAAATTCAAATAAAACAAAAAACCCAAAGATGGATAGGGAAATTTGACCGATGATGAAAGCTTACCTGAATGTCTTCAATAGAGATAAAAATGGATATAGAAGCTTACCCGATTGTCATCATACAAAGATGAAAGTTTACTTGAATGCCTTGATTCGTTTTCTATAAAATCATCACTAAGAACCCCATATCAAAACAAATTTCTAAATAAACTTTAGACATCCAAGGAAAGACCAAAGCAACATTATAACTTTCAGGATTGGCTAAGGCAAAATCTCTTGGCCGCCACTGCGAATGTCCGAGAGAAACAAGCCTTAAAATTATCATCACTAGTATAAAAAAATAAACCTAAACCATAACTTCATAAAGAATTTGAAATCTCTCACCCAAAAATCATCAACAACTTGAAAGGAGAAGATTGAGCGAGAGTGGAAGAGAAGAAAACCATAACCTTATGAGAGCAGAGATGGAGAATTGAATCAGGAGATGATTGAGTAGAGTAGAAGAACTAAACTGAAGAGCACCTGTAGTGTCTCGGAGGAAGAATTGAAGAACACCTGTATTGTCTTGGAGAAAGAATACACTTAGCTAAAAAAACAAAAAAAATCAAATAGAATTGTGAAACCTAAATTCAAACCAAACAAAAAAAGCAAACACACCAGTAGAGAAAAACTGTCAACTCACATTGGCAGTTTTCAAGCCAACCTGGATTCAAACCAAAACCAAATTCGAATCAGAAACCTAAATTCAAACAAAACCAAAAACCTAGATTGAAATCAAATTAAAACCTTACCTAAATGTGTTCAAGATGGAGAAATTGGAAATGGATGGAGAATTTTGAGGGTCACCAAGAGGTAGGAGACGATCCAGGGTTAAAGATCTGTGAATCGCCACATTGGGACTGTGAATCGCCACGTTGGGAGGAGGGGTAGAAATTGAGAGGATGAGGTGTGAAGTTCTTGGAAGGATAAATAAAGAGTTTGGTATTGATTAGTTGTACATCAAGCTTATAATGTCGTTTTTACGACTTTTAAGACTCTATGCATGAATAAGCAGTACTTTATCCATTAAAAATTGTTTTGAAGACTTTTATGAAATTTGGTTTATAATGTAGTATATCTATAAGGAAAGTTTGAGGTACTAAAGTGGTACCATAAGAATTGAGTATTATTTAAATGATGAATTGTGGTTGAGTTTTAGTTATCTCATATTGGTGAAGAGTTGAAAGTTTTGAACAAAGTGAAATGTATGAGAAAAGTGGATTGGATGCTTTTGTGTCAAATCATGGGTTTGTCTTGTTATATTTTGGATGACTGATAAGTGTGCAAAAGCAAACACTTTAGCACTCAATTATCTCTTTATTTCACTTTATTTTACACATTTCCCAATCTTATATTGAGTCTTACAGTCTTATTTTATGGTTTTACATTTAGGGGAGCTAGGATGCAGGAATGGTAATGTCTTATGAGTTTGGTGAATATAAATGCTGATATAAGCATTGATGTAGCATGTGTACATGTTGTTGCAGCACTGGACGCTGGATATTGGCACAACTGGATCAATCTCGTTGAATAATTTGAAAAGTCAAAGTTTTGAAAAAGACATCTCCTAGTACTATTGGCAAACAATTTAGATGGATGATGCTCCTAAAGATGCCTCAACCTTTTGTACTAAAGCATCTTGTCTAAAAAGCATCTTGTCTAAAAGCATCTTGTCTAAAAAGCATCTTTATTTTACTTGTTGGTTAATAACCTATGGGTATTGCCCTCTTGTACTTTTTGATTCCCTCATGGTAGTATATATATGGGGGTAATCCTTTGAACAATTTGGTGTGTAACCTTTGGAAACAATTGTCGTCAGGAACAAAGCTTCATCAAAGTTTTGGGTTCTTGTTACTTTTTATTATTAATTTGCTAGTAATTTTAAGTGTTTTTCGTCACCGTCAGTTGTTACAGCAACCTTTCCAGCTTTCTTTCTTTTTTTTTTTGCTGAATTTACTTTTACGTCATTTACATTCAGTCATTTTTATTTATGTCATTTACTTTTAAGCACTTACATTCAGTCATGCTAGGCTAAATACCTTAGTATGGGTGTAAGTGAAGGTTGTGAGATTACGCCAAGTTGTTAGTTGATATTTGCTTGTTAATAGTAATTTATTTCACTATTCACAAGTGGTATCAATATTTCATCTGGTAATCTTTGAAAAATTGATACATGTTATTTTATTAAGATGAGTTGGACTTTAAATTAAGACAACACAAATATTTTACTAATTGTGTTATAGAGGCTATAAAAAGTTGCCGTAATCTTATGGGTTGCAAAACTATATGGAAAGAAAGGTAAGATATGTACTAGTTTGGGATTGATGCATCACCAAGTGTATTTACAACATATGGTCTAATCTGCACTTCCTTGGAAGGCCGTTCAATCCAGTAGTGTTGTAAAGAGCTATTTATAGAACAATATTCATTACACTTCGTTGCTAAAATCCAAGCTGATCTTGCATCCATACTACCTTTTAATTATTGTTTCATTTCAGTATTTAGTTACCAACTCTCGCAAATATATTTTCTCTCAAAAGCTTTATTGCTTCCAAAAACCCTTTTCTGAAATCTCACTTTAAAGTTAACTTTTGTGACTTTCTTTGCATATTAAATCTCTGTGGAACGATATCTGGTATTACTTACCATTATTACTTGCTTTGGATGATACTTGTAAGCCATGTATACTTGCATGATTTACTTGTTATTATAGCCTTTTGAGGGTATAGATCCATCCACACCAAGTTGTTAGCGCCGTTGCTGGGGATTTTTCTTCCAAAAAGAATTTTCCTTAAGTTACTTTAAAATTTGATTTTTCTACCATCAAGTGTTCATTTTTAGTGGTTTATGCAAGGATACCTCATGAGACTTTTTTTGAGTTAGATCCGCACATTGAAAGAACTTTTAGAAGGAGAAGAAGGTACAAAAGAAATTTGTTTCCTATTCTAGCTACTCCTGAAATGGCTCAAGTCGGACCTGATTCAATACCTAATCCTGAGGAGGAGGTTATTAGGCTTGCAAATTCAAGGACTGGTGGCATCATGGACTATACTATTCCAATGTTAAATCAATTACATCCTAGAATACGTAGGCCCACTATTGATGGTGACCACTTTGAATATGTGCCCATCATGTTTCACATGTTACAAACAAATGGTCAATATGCTGGATTACCATCTGAGAATCCTCATTTGCATCTTAGATATTTTATGGAGATCACTGAATTTTTTCATTTTAATGGAATTTTTGATGAAGCCTTAAGGCTAAAGTTATTTTCTTTGTCATTAAGAGATAGAGCCAAAGTGTGATACAACTCTTTGCAACCAGACTCAGTCACCACATGGAATAAGATGACTGAGAAGTTTAAAAAAAAGTATTTTCCCCTAACCAAGAGTGCCAGGTTCAGAAATGAAATTTGTCTCTTTAGACAAATGAATGATGAAGCAATTCCTGATGCTTGGGAGAGGTACAAGGAATTACTAAGGAAATGCTGTAACACCCTAACAAAAGAAATAAGGTAGAAGGTAAATTTAACTCAAAAGCACAAGGCAAGCCTAGAGTTTTACAAAAATCCACCCAATACATGGGGAAAAGTAAAGCGTTTACGAAACAACTAATGGGGCGATAAGTAACAACCTATTAATCTAAACAATTTCATGCCCAGATTAAGGATGGGTGTTTCTACCAACTCCAACAAAAGTATCCTCGAGTGGTGTAACGCTCAAATCACCAAATACCTTATCCAAAAAGACTATTCAATTTCGACGATCCTCTCAACCCTTATTAGCCCCACTGCTAATGGAACCTGACAAACAACCACATCAAGAAAAAGTGTTAGGCCTACGCCTAGTGAGTCAGACAGTAAACTTGTTGAACTGCAAGTCCAATGTAAACATACATATGTATAAATATAAATACAATACATGGTTTTTATTCGATAAAAGTATGGACAGTTCTCACAATCACATGATGGTGCCATAACATTCGGAGATCACGGGGGAGACCCGATTTACAGTTGTTTATGACGGAACACAAAGTAAGTCACAACTCAACGTTATAAAGCATCACTTACAGGTTTAACACCTTGACATCAACTAAAATAGTCATGTAGTCGGCCGTGATCTTAAGCTCTTTATCTCGGTAATTACATAATAATCACAATGCCTAATACCGAGTGTAAGTGAGAAGATGATTTGGTGATTACATAATAATCTCAATGCCTATCACCAACTTACACCATCATTCCCATGAATAAAATAAAATGACATTCATGTCTATAATTCCATTATATTCTAGTGACATATCCAAAACACAACATTTTTAACATATACACATTTATACATTACCAAGACTTTGCATAAACCCTTAGTCCAATGAAGTACTCTCACCCAACAATACGATTTCAAATGTAGAACATAAAGGTGTTGTCTAAAGGCCAACAATACTTGAAATGGGTGTTTTACCAAATGATTATATCTTTTTCCCCAATTCATCTTTCCAATATAGGCGGGATCCCTAAGTTCGTTCTTTACTTAAAGTGATCTCCATTTCTAACCAAACAAGTAATTTCACCTATTTAAAATTCGAAGTAAATATAATGCATCATTTCCATTATTGTAAAGTTTCATAATTGGGGTAGAATGGACTCACCTTGTAGGATTTGGGAGAAATTCTAAACTCTTGAAATTAAATGGTAGGTGGACAAGAGTTCCAAATTTTCAGCAGGTAATAAACACATATGGTGAAACAGTGGGGAGGCCAAAGGGAAAGGAGGGAAGAAGCAGGCTCCACAAGGGGGGGGGGGTGAGGTCCTTCTACGGTTTCCAACAAAAAGGAGATGGTTCTTCTTTTTCCTTCTTTCTTTCCTTTTTACCCAACTACTGTCCCTGTTCCTAGATATAATCCCAACAACACCATTTACATAGAAGTCAATGTCCTCCATGGAAATGGGAGAACCTTTAGAGAAAAGGGTGAAACAAAAGAGTGGGTCAAAGTTGCAGGTAGTCCCCCCCCTTCCAAAATCAATACTCCCAAGAATTCAAAAGAACCCTTTTCCCTAAAAATAATTTTATATAAATACATATATATATATATATACATATACTCTTATATACTTCACAAGGAGGATTTTCATAAAATAAAGTGTTTTTAAACACAGATTAAGTAAATGAAAATGCATACCTTATATAAGTCTTTTTTTTTTACGTGCACAGAGCTAGGAAAAGGGAAAAATTTCCAGGTGTTACAGTCCTCCCCGCCTTGGATCAAATTTTGTCCTCGAAATTTAAGCTCATGAGAAGAGGTGGGGGTAACGCTTCTTCAAGTCCTCTTCCGCTTCCCATGTCACGTTTGATCCTCAATGATGTTTTCGTTTTACCTTGACCATGACAACCTCTCTGTGCCTCAATACCTTGGTTTTGCTTTCCAAAATGGCTTCCGATTCTTCCATGCATTGCTTGTTCTCATCTACACGAATTTCCGAAAGTGGTATTACTCTTTCTTCTTCCGCCAAACACTTACGAAGGTAGCACACATGGAAGGTGTTATGTATTTCGGCCATCTCTGGTGGTAGTTCTAATTTGTAAGCCTGAAGTCCCACCCTAGCCAAGACTTTAAACGGTCCAAGGAAACGGGGACTTAGCTTCCCACGCTTTCCAAATCGGATAATACCTTTCCATGGAGACACCTTTAGCATTACGCAGTCGCCCACTTAAAATTCTATAGGTCGGTTCCTCTTGTGTGCGTAACTCTTTTGCTGATCCTGCACCGCTTTTAAACGTTCCCAAATACATTTCACCTTATCGGCCATTTCTTGTACGATTTCAGGGCCGGCGAATTATTTCTCACTCGCTTCAAGCCAACACACAAGAGTCCTTACAAAGCCTCAAAAGGTGCCATTCCGATGCTGGAATGATAACTATTGTTGTAGGTGAACTCCACCAGGGGTAGGTGAGAATCCCAATTCCCGCCAAAGTCGATAACACACAAACGAAGCATGTCTTCAAGGGTTTGAATGGTACGCTCACTCTGACCGTCGATTTGAGGATGGTAAGCCATGCTCAACTTTACCCTCGTACCCAGTTCTTTTTGTAAGCTGCCCCAGAAATGGGAGGTGAATCGGCTCTCTCAATCTGATACTATTGACAATGGTAAATCGTGCCTCGAGACTATTTCATCGATGTACAACCTGGCCAGCTTCTCCATGGGTAATGATTCATGCATTGCCAAGAAGTGAGTGCTCTTCGTTAGTCGATCAACCACTACCCAAATCGTATCATGACCTCTTAAGGTTTTTGGCAGTTTGGTCACAAAATCCATCGTAATATGATTCCACTTCCATTCGGGGATTTCCAAGGATTGAAGGCTACCATAAGGTCGTTGGTGCTCCGCTTTCACCTGCAAATAAGTCACGCACCTCTCTACATAACGAGCCACGTCAAGCTTCATAACGGGCCACCAATATGTCAATTTCAAGTCCCGATACATCTTGGTGCTACCCGGGTGAATGGAGTATTTAGACTTGTACACATCTTCCAGCAACAGTTCACGATTGCCTCCAACCTTGGGTACCCATATACGTCCTTGAAACAACTTTAAGCCACGGTTGTCCTCCGTAAGAAGTAAGTGTTGTTTTATCATTACTTCATTCTTGAGATTTCCTTCAAAAAATGCTTCAGACTGTGCCGCTTTGATCCGATCGATTAAATTGGACATTACATTGATCCTAGTAAGCACGGTTTTCGTCCCACTATCGTACTCTTTCTGGCTCAAGGCATCTGCCACTACATTGGCCTTACCTGGATGGTATAGTAATTCGTAATTGTAGTCCTTGAGTAGCTCGAGCCAACGTTTTTGCCTCATGTTTAATTCTTTCTGATCAAAGATGTACTTCAAACTCTTGTGATCGGTGAAAAACGTGCACTTGGTACCATAAAGGTAATGTCGCCAAAGCTTTAAGGCGAACACCACTGCTGCTAGCTCCAAATCGTGTGTGGGATAGTTTTTCTCGTGATCTTTGAGTTGTCTGGAGGCGTATGCTGTCACTTTTCCCCTTTGCATCAAGACACAATCCAATCCTATTTTAGAAGCATCGCTAAAAACTACGAAGTCTTCCTAGATATAATCCCAACACTACCATTTACATAGAATTCAATGTCCTCCATGGAAATGGGAGAACCTTTAGAGAAAAGGGTGAAACAAAAGAGTGGGTCAAAGTTGCAGGTACTCCCCCCCCTTTTTCCAAAATCAATACTCCCAAGAATTCAAAAGAACCCTTTTCCCTAAACATAATTTTATATAAATATCTATATGTACATATACTCCTATATACTTCACAAGGAGGATTTTCATAAAATAAAGTGTTTTTAAACACAGATTAAGTAAATGAAGACGCATACCTTATATAAGTCTTCTCTTTTTTTTATGCGCACAGAGCTGCGAAAAGGGAAAAATTTCCAGGTGTTACAAATGCCCACATCATGGCATACCTTACTGCATTAAGCTAGAAATATTTTACAATGGTTCTGATACCACTGCTAAACAAATGTTAAATGCTACTGCAGGTGGAACCTTTACTTTCAGTACCTATAATGATGGTTTTGATATTTTGAAGAACATTTCTAACAACAATGGTCATTGGGGAAATCCTAGAGCAATAGTATCCAAAAAGACAATAGGCATTCATGAAATAGATCCTTGTACTGCTCTTACAACACAACTAACAACTATGATTAGCTTGTTGAAAAACTTAGTTGTCCCTACTGCTAGTACTATTGCCACTGCAGTTGCCGCTGCTAGTACTATTGCCACTGCAGTTGTTTTTAAAACTTTGGAAACACAATTTGGTCAAACAGAACTATAGTTGAGGAACAATTTTGTTGAAACTTTGCCCACTGATACTGAGATTCCTAAGATACTGATCAAAGAGCATGTGAAAGTTGTCACCTTAAGGAGTGGAAAAGATCTAGTATAAATTCCACAAAAAGACAATGTAGAAACAGAACCAATTGCTACAGTAGTACCACCTATTGCTGTAGCAACCCCTCTTGTTGTTTCTAAACTTGCAGAAAACCAAGGATCTGGACCCATGCCAAGCAGATTTGATTTCCCATTGCTTTTCCCTAGTGAAACAGAACAACAACCACAAAATCAAGTCCTGATAGTGTTTTCAAAGATCCACCACCAAAAGACCATGTTGATACACCACTATCTAAACCAGCATATAGTACCCCTAATATACCTATTGTGCCTATTGTCCAAAATCCTAAGAAACCAATGATTAGCCTAGTTCCACCTTATGTTCCTTATCTATAGAGGTTAAGAAACCAAAAGGAAGAAGTTCAGATTAAAAAGTTCTTGGATGTATTCAAACGATTGCACATCAATATGTAGAAGCAATTGAGACTATGCCCAATTATGCCAAATTTCTGAAAGATATCTTAAGTAAGAAAATTAAATTGACTGAATATGAGACTGTGGCCCTTACTGAAGGATGTAGGGCCCTCTTGTCAAACAAACTTCCCTCCTAATCTTAAAGACTCTGGAAGTTTCACAATTCCTTGTTCAATAGGTGGGAAGCATGTTGGTAAAGCCCTGTGTGATTTAGGTGCTAGTATAAATCTTATGCTCTTATCTATGTTTAATACGTTAGGGATAAGAGAGGCTAGGCCAACCACTGTTACCTTACAATTGGCTGATAAATCCATAACATTTACCAAAAGAAACATATAGGATGTATTGGTACAAGTGGACAAGTTCATATCCCCTGCTGATTTTATAATTCTTGACTTTGAGGTAGATAAAGACACCCCTATTATGTTAGGAAGACCCCTTCTAGCCACTGGTAGAACCCTTATTGATGTCCAAAAAGGAGAGTTGACCATGAGAGTGTAGGACCAAAATATCACTTTTAATGTTCTTAACTCTATGAAATATCTTGAGGAAAATGAGGATTGTTCTATGGTTGGTGTTACAAAGTCATGGTGTCATGAAGAAACTTTAGAGGAAATTCTAGGTGAAAAGACTGAATCATTTGAAGATAGTGGTGAGGAGGATAGTGATTAGATATTGCAGCAAGCTGTAGCATATGAGCTATTAGAAGATGAACCCAAACAGAACCATTGTCATCCACAGAATCCCCACCAAACTTAGAATTGAAATAATTACCCGCTTATCTTAAGTATGCATTTTTGGGAGAAGATAACAAGCTACTTGTGATCATTTCATCATCATTAGAAGAGAAACAGGAAAAACAGTTAGTAAAAATGCTTCGATACCGTACCAAAGCCATAGGGTTGACCATCTCTGATTTGAAGGGTATAAGTCCATCTATTTTTCAACACAAAATCATTTTACAAGATAAGGACTTTACTTCTGTTGAACCTCAAAGGAGATTGAATCATGTGATGAAAGAGCTGGTTAAGAAGAAGATTTTGAAATGGCTTGATGCTGGCATTATTTATCCTATAGCTAGTAGCTCTTGGATAAGTCCTATCCAATGTGTGCCTAAGAAAGGCCGTGTGACTGTAATAGAAAATAGAAGAATTAACTAATCCCAACTAGGATAGTTTTAGGATGGAGAATATGCATGGATTATAGGAAGCTCAACAAAGCAACCTATAAAGACCATTTCCCCTTGTCTTTCATAGATCAAATGTTGGATGATTAGTTGAGAAAGAATACTATTGCTTTTTAGATGGTTATTCAGGCTATAATCAGATTGCTATTACTCCTGAGGATCAAGAGAAAACCACTTTCACTTGCCCCTTTGGTACATTTTCTTTTAGAAGAATGCCATTTGGACTATGCAATGCTTCTGCCACATTCCAAAGAAGCACGATGTCCATTTTTTCTTATATGTTGGAAACCTCTATGGAGATATTCATGCAGGATTTCTCTGTCTATGGATCTTCTTATGAGTGTTTGAAGAATTTAGAACAAGGTCTTAAGAGATGCGAGGAGACAAATTTGGTACTAAATTGAGAAATGTCACTCCATGGTTAAGGAAGTTATTGTGTTAGGACATGTAATCTCAAGAAGAGGAATAGAGGTAGACAAAGCCAAGTCAGAGGTTATAGAGAGTCTACGTGAGCCCACAAATATAAAAGGAATAAGAAGTTTCTTGGATCATGTTGGTTTCTATAGAAGGTTTATAAAAGGCTTTTCAAAAATTTCCAAACCTCTCTGCATGTTACTACAACATGACCAACCTTTTGATTTCAACAAAGAGTGTAAATCAGCTTTTGAGACTTTGTAGAAGGCTTTGATTTCTACCCCCATTGTTATTACACCATATTGGACAAAAACTTTTGAATTAATGTGTGATGCAAGTGATTGGGCAGTTTGTGTAGTTTTAGGCCAAATCAAGGAAAAGGTTTTTCATCATATAGATTATTCCAGTAAGACTCTGAATGAGGCTCAAATAAACTACATAACCACTGAAAAAGAACTTTTGGTTGTGGTATTTGCATTTGAAAATATTAGATCCTACTTAATGGTGGACTAAGGTCATTGTTCATACAGACCATGCTACCATTAAGTATTTGATTTCTAAAAAGGATGCCAAACCAAGGTTGATAAGGTGGGTGCTTTTGCTACAAGAGATTGACATTGAAATAGTGGATAGGAAGGGAATAAATAAAGAAGTAGCTGATCACTTATCAAGATTACAGAAAGGAGAATCAAGTTATGGTGAAA